CTCTAGACAAGAATTTTTGTTCGGAACAACTTTCTAAATGTCTCGAAAACGACATTGCAACATTTTATTAAATCTACCATTTTTTTCATAAAGTTGTTTTAGTGTTCAAAGAAGGCAAATTGGTAAATCAATTAGTTCCACCTTCAAACAAAAGGTCATATAGTTCTCCAGAGTATTTTGAAATATCTACACTCCCCCGCCTCCTCCGAAAAATTCTTAGACTTTTTCTGGTATTAAATACGACTTAAGTTATCAAACCTGTCAGACAAGCGAGTAGTACGAAGATGAGGAAACAATAGATGAAGAAACACTTGCAACTCTTCTTGCACAAACTCACGTCCCCCCACGAACGTCTGGAGGGGGGCAAATAGTCCTGGGCCATCTGTGCCACTGCCTCGGAACTTGCGTAGCTGTACTCGCCTACTGGTGTTCCCTGCTTCTTCTCGAGACTATTTGATGAGCTGTTATTCGAAAGCATGCTGCTGCTTCTTTTCAGCAGAATTGATTTAGAGCCTAAAATTTGCAGTAGCCGAGATCATCTGTGGAGGTTCGCCGAAAAATGAAAAATTGGCAGATTCTGCACTGAAACTAAAACTAAATTTTAAATAGTAAGGCAAACTTTTCACGGCTTAATTGAAAGCTGTTCCTATTGTAATACTAAATCGTTCTCTTTCCTCACTCGAAAATAGACAGAAAGTAAAAAGTATCAGAGAGTTTGAGACTGAAAGAGTGGAAGTGTCTCGGCACTTTGCAGATTTGAATCACGACTGAAAGATCTTCAATTTGTTATTTCTCACCTGTGGAAACTGCTGCATACCCACTCGAAGACCGAGATCCATTATGCTTCCGGTAAGAAGACGTTCGCTTCACACCTGCCGCCGCCGCCGACGCCAAATCCCCCGCAGACTCATCTTCGTCGCTCGGCCCACTCTCGGCAAAGTGAAACTGGGCCAATTTGCTGTCGTCACCGGATAGTAGTCGGCTGTTTTTGACGACGTCTTGAATCCAAGGATCCTCGGTGGGTTTATTGGAATCTTTACAGAACATCAGTATTTCAAAAAAATGAATTTTTAATTAAATTTCACGAAATTTCCAAATTTGGTTTTGTTTTTCGTTTAATATTTTTTTTGGTTTCGTTTTTCAAATTTTTTGAAGGGATAACTGTATAGACTTTTCAGTGCTGTTTGATCTGTTATTAATGAAACAATAATATAAAATATCGCCAAAAAACCTCTCCATCGTAATTTTTGGCTGAAAATCCAAATATACAAACTAATTAATTGATCAGTGGACTACTTAACTGATTATTTAACTATGTTTTTTGTTATTTAACGTATTAATCAATTATTCAACTAACTAATTTATTGATTAATATGTTTATTTGAATTTGGCTTGCCGTGCCTTGCGCCTGTTCTTCTTCTTCTGTGGTGTCTTCCTCGTTAGAATTCTCGTTAATGTTGTCCAGATTGGATTCCTGGTAGTTCCTCGAAGGACTCGACGGAATGTGATTGCTCCTCCCCCTCTCCCTCGCGCCACTCAGGTAATCGTCATTCAACGAAATTTTCAATGGCTTCGGCTGTAAACAAACACGCTCGTCAATTTGTTAGCTATCCCCTACACCCCACCACCCGCCTATTCTATAATGATTGCAAAAACCACCCCATCCCCATCCTACCCAGCCTATTGTATTATGGGGGGCAGTTTGTCAGAAAGGTCAATAGTCGCATCTGCTCAATCATTAAATTAGTCTTTTATAGGGGAGAGGGGTTGCGTTTTACTATGTAGCATAGCCGGGAACGGAGGGAGCGTAGGAATAGTTAAAAATACCCAAACATGGTTTTCACAAACAAAAATTGCGTTTTTTGTTTCAGATTTCACATCCGTGTTTTTCAGGTCGTGCGTTTCAGCTCATTTTTTATGAGTTGCCCCCTTGGGAACTTACCCCACATATTGTTCTAAGGGGAAATGAGGGTAGGTTATATTTCCCTGAAAACCCTCTGTTTACTTTTTTGACGGAGGGAAGTTGATAAATCAGGGAAATAAGCAGGGAAGCCCAAGCCCCCTTGGCTTCCTTAATAAGAAAATGAAACTAGCAGTTAATTTCCAGAATTGTTCAACTATTAAGCAAATTGCTGCTCGTCGTTTTAATTATCGATGTTTTTCAGCTATTAGAAATACTGGTGAAGGGTTGAAAAATCAGTAGTGATATCTACCCCTAAAAATATTGGGATCTCTTTAACTACCCCTCTCCTCAGGGGCGGATCTTAGATTTTCTCGAGGGGGAGGGCGGATTTTCAAACTTTTTTAGGTTGACCAAATTGGTTTTTCAAGCTCTTCCAAAGCAGTAAAAAGTCCGTTTTGGCCAATTTTTCTGCGCCGCAGGCAAAATTCTGAAAAAAAAACAGGCTAAAAAGGCGTTTTTAGGCACTTTTTGGAAAATTTCGACCAAAAGTTTGCTTTTTACGGCGCGCGCTCCCCCTCAAAGTTAGTATATTTTGACGCCAAAGGCGCCTTTTAGAAAAATCTTAGGGTCCGTCACCAAAAATGGATAATTCAAAGTATTACAAAGGGAGTACCCTTTGAGTCGGTCTAAAGGAAGCGTCTACAAACATTTCTATGGGTGGATATTCTTTAATGGGTTCCATGACGGGAGAAAATATTTACAGAAACCCTAAAAGATCCGGAAAAAAATAAAAATTAGGTCAGGTTTATAATAGCGAATTATACGCACCATTTTGTACACAAAAGACTCTCCGCAAGCCAAATTGGCCAAATAGTGAAAGCGTTAAAAATAAACCATTTTGCTTGAATAAAAGAAAGTGTACGTTTTAAATCATTCAAACTCTTAACTAATTTAAGAATACTTTAGTTGGTGCGCTAGTCAATTAAATGAGCTGCAAATACTAAGTTTGAATCGAATTTTTGCTGTTATATGAACTTTGTTTGTCATGTTTTTGTACGCCGCATCAATCATCATTTCACCTGTTAATCACGACCTATACTCGAAGGCTCTGCTTAATTAAGAGACTAATTAACATCCGGTTTTCTATAAGAAAAATTTGTTGGCCTCATATTTTTCTGGGCAATCACGCCAAGTCGGTTTTGACTTTTTTTGTTTTTCAACCTTCATCGCTGAGAACAATCAACAACCAGAACCTCAAGACTAAAACTATAACTATTGAAAATTGTCGGTCGCTGCGCAATCATAGATTGTTCCAAGTACATAGAATGTTCCTTTATTAAAACAATAAAAAGTTTTGAAAAAGCCAAGTTTTGTAAAAAAAAATTCTGCTTTTTTACTAGAGTGAGGGGTGCATTAATTGAAAAAAAAATGTTTAAAAAGATTTTCAACAGACTCTATGGCTCTAATTTAGCCCGAATAACGTATAATTAGTTTAACATATATTTCGACACTCAGGATACTTTTTAATCAGCTTTTTCAATGATTGAGCTTCAATATTTTATTACACTCAATGTCGTACTGACTCCAAAAATTGTGCTGGCTTTCGGCTTTGGTTTTTTTTTGCGTTTCTTGATTGCAGTGCGGTTTAGTTTTGTACTCAAAATCAAGGGAAGGTTGGTCCATAAAAGTTTACTTGTCGTTTAGTCCCTAAAGTTTTTCAAAATAAATTTTTTTAAATGTTTTATTGAAATGGAAAAAATGTCAGGGTCGAGCAGTGCGTGCAAGTTGCATAAGAAATTTGCTATTTATTCGAAGTTAAGACTTTCCAAAATTTTTTCAACGAGGTGTGAACCCTGCAAACTACAACCAAGGTAATAAATGCCATTGATTGGCTCTTCTAATGTGGAAGTCTCAAAGAAGTTTTAATGTGATATCTCGGAAATCGATGAAGAGGGGGAATAATCCTGAGCTGTAAGAGAGCTATAAATGCTAAAAGTTTGCTTCATCAGAGCGATCCGTAAAACGAGTTTGAAAAAATAGCTGAGGTATAACTTATTCTGCTTCATTTGAAAACCATTAGGAGTCCAAACTTTGCATTCAATAAAACAATTTTGCGATATTCACATACATCTTGTGGAATCCACTTACCCGCATCCAGTTTTAAGCTTTAATAAAAGAATATATTAAAATTTAATAGAAGTCTTATTAAAGTTGAGAATAAATCCTTTTTAATCAGTTGAAAATCGAAAATAAAACCTCTTTTAGAAATCAAATTATAATCAACTATAATACATTTCAATCAATTATAACCGAAATTAATCAATTAATTTCCGATGTCATTATAATCAATTATAACAGATTATAACTGATTAATTTTATAACAAATTCTAATTCATTGGAAGCAGAAAAAATCAATTATGATCGATTATAATCGATTGCATTCCTTTGTAACTGCTCATTTTGTCTTGACCTTGCAGCTGAATTGCTTTTTTTCGTAGACGTTGGTTTCTGTGAAAAATAACAAAAATAAGTGCAAAGTTTTCAAGTCACCTTGAACTTTTAACTTTTTTGTTTTTCGAAGTTGTTGAACTGACTGACGCCCTGTTAATAACTACTCGGATATCTTCTTTCTCATCAATTGCCAATAAAAAGTTGGAAAAAAAATTAAACAGCAAAACTACTGTTCTTGCAGCGGAGACGCAAGCATTTATCACTTGTCAGTGATTTTGTTAGTTTGATAAGCAACAGCTGCGCATAAACTTTTTCATCATATTGATTTTTAATTATTTTTGACGAATGGAAGATAGGCTGCCTATATCAATCATGATTCCGAACTGTGGAACGTTTTTATTTCGGGCCTTCAAAATTGTTGTATAATACAAGGTCGTTTGACACATTAATGGTATCAGATAAAATAAAGTTTCGAATTGGTATTCTTCCTAATGTATCTGCTTTACATGAAGGTAAATCATGCAGTATTAAGGCTGCTAGAAGAAATAAAATGCTCTAAGAATCCCATCTTCTTTTTCGATACTCAGATACAGGTGATTGCTTAGTCAAACTTTAAATTGATTATCGTTAATTATCTTTATTTTTCTCAAAGTTTACTCAAATTTATCATTCTGGACTTTCAGACCCAGTTTTGGTAACAGATGCAACATGAGGTTGATATTTTGTCTTTTATAAAAAAAAACAGCAGACGAAAAGAAAAATTTTTTTGTTCCCATAAATTTTCTGCAGCACAAAAATAACAAAATTACGAAAGGTGGCTGTTAATTTTTTTTTTTTTGATATTTTACTATTATTAGATGACTAGTCGACGCTGGATACAAAAATTGAGAAAACTTGCTGGAAAACTAACTAAGAATTGAACGAAAATAAAACGTTGATTGAAAATCTTCAAAAAAAATTTGTTACCAGCGAAGAGAAGTGAAAGAAATTAGTTATAGAGGACTTTTGTGGTTCAAAGAGTTAACAAAATAAGCAATTCCCATTTTACCCCAGACAACAAAATGGAGCAAAAAATCTATAATTCATTGCTTTTATCAAATTTAAAATTAATTATGAACTATTCGAAATCAATTAAAAAGGACTTTTTTCCACTCTTTTTGCTTCGCATCGTGCAAAATTTAGCAATACTTCCTGCATTTATCAAATGAGTAGTTTCGCAAACAGCAATACAATTCCATTCCCAGCCACTCTCAACTTTGGTCCCCCTTAACACTTGTACCTTTGTCCTTTTCCCCTCTATCAAATAAACCAACTACCACCACCCCACCCCACCGACAGAACCAACTGCCCTCTCGCCCAATGTATGTTCCAGGTCTGAATCTGGCCTTGAGCAGGTCTGTATTTGTGACAAAATCCATGCCTGCCCCATTCCATTTTTCAAGTATTTTACCTATCTGGTGAAAAACTAAACAACTTTGACAGTTTGATTAAATTTTGCCAGAACTTTTGGTTTATGCTGAGTTTTGGCTTTTTTGAATTTAATTTTGTTCAATATAACACAGTCGGAAAAAATTTTTCAAGAAGCGAAACTTAAATTGAGCTGGCACATCTTAAAAAGCAAAACCTCGGTTGTTCTTACTTGCGCCAAAAGACCATGGTGAATAGGTGCTTTTGACAAAGACAAAATAATTTTCCTGGACTTTTTTATACCCAGCTTTGGAATGGTAAATCAGCATACTTTTTTGCCCAGAGTAGGAAATTAGAGTGAGTTATATTAATCATAATGTTAGCTAATTTGTTAAAGAATCGAGCTTATAAACCCAAATTGTTCATAATATCTTAAAAACCTTACTGTCAATTCTAATGGACGAATTACTGTAGGCTGAAGGACCTTCTGCTTAAGCCACTCGAGAGCAATAGGATATTCAATGCAGGGTAGATTGAACCCAAAAAACTGGTTCAAAGGGGAGAAATTTGTCACGTCCATTTCGAGAGCCATAGATACAGCCGGATCAGCTACCAATTTTTCGTTTTCTCATTGTTTGATAAAAGTATCCTTGAGCAGAGAATGCCTAGTTGTCTTCAATGATTCTTTTTGAGAAAGCCAAGTAACCTGCAGTTGTCTCAATGGGACAACTAGAAACAAAACTCATCAAAGTCATTATCTAAATGTTGAAGTCGCCTTCAAGATCATGCAGTATACTCTTCCGAGTTCCAAAGCGGGTCATTGTCAAAACATCCATGATCTTCCCGGGTACTGTTGATCTGACAAAATGCACCGCTGACAATTCGGAGAACTTAGCAATCACATACAGTTTTATCAACTTCTCCCTGATTTTGCAGTACTGCCATTCAAATAAGTTAAGGGCTATACTTTGGTTAAAATCAGTGCTGCGTTGCATGATAAGTTTACCAATAATGAAGTGTATGTGACCACAACCTATTCAATTAGATCATCAGTCTGCTTTTCAATTCCACTCAAGTTTTTTTCCTAATTGTCACGTTTTCCACTAACATCTTTATAAATTCTGCCAACCCCCGATGCATGACGAACTTTTCCTACAGGTTAACGCTTTTTGTTAAATTCAGTTTTTCTTATCCGATTCCAAAAGTACAAAACTTTCGTTTCTTTGCCCAGTCCCTTTGACTTAATTCTCAATTTTTGTTAGTCCTTTTCAAAATCTACCAAACTGGCTCTCGTCGTTCTTTTAGCAATA